TGCCTTTCCAGTAATTGTTGCTCCCGCCCTTCCCCCACGGTGCAGGCTGGGGAGGCCCCAGGCCTGGGTCTCCCACCTCCTTCCCCGCCCCTGCACTGGCCAGCCCCCACGGTGGGAGCCAGGAGAGCCGGGGTTGGGCTCTGGGGAGCCCCTGGGGGTCACAGACAGCGGGGCTCAGCAGAGTGGGACCAGGCCCCTCCCTCCGGCCCTCCTGTCCTCAGGACAGCCCGTCCTTGAACTCTCAGGTGCCCTCAGCCCTGGCTGCTTGGGAATGGAGGAGAGAGTGGAGGCGCAGTCAAAGGTGTGGGCGGTGGACCCCTGCTCCGCTGCCCTGGCTGAGTGTGTCCACACCTGTGGGCTGAAGTGGAGGGCATGGGGGGCTCACAGAGCACTGGGGCACCCATGGGGCAGGGTGAGGGGAGGTTGGCACTCACTTGGCATATGCCCAGGCAGGCCTGAGGGCACACCCTGTTACTGAGGGGGAAATTGAGCCTGGGGAGGCCGGCATGCCTATGTGGGGGCCCTGGAGCTTGGGGACCTTCATGTACCCTACTTCGAGCTCTTGGGGGAGCGACCTGGACAGATCCCGCTCTCACTAGGGGGCTCGTGGGTCCTCAGATGAAGGCCAGCCTGGCCTGGGAGGGACAGATGGAGGCCTAGTGTGTCCCCTAAGGTGGCTGCCCAAGGGTGTAGACTAGCCCCAGCACCCACAGCCCAGCCAGGCCAGGCCCTGGACTGAATACTGGGCCCTAAAGAGGTGCCCACCTCCCTAGGGGCTGCTGGGAGAAGGGCAGTGACCATATCGTGGCCAAACCAGGTGGGCCAGGGCCACCCCAGGGGGAAACCCGAAGGCCACCAGAGCCCTAGTCAGGAGGGATGCTGAGCTGACCCACAGCCTTGGGCTGGGCCTTACAGCCTCTCGGAGCTCCTGAACCTGGCTCTCTCCTCCGTGAAGTGGACTGTGAGCTCCTGTCCAGCAGCTACCGGGGCTCCTGCTTCCAAGGGGACTGCAGGGGTCCTGTCCATGAGGGAGGCCTGAGGAAAGGGAACTGGGCCCAGGAGGAACTGGGGCCCAGATGCTCGAGGGAGCGGGGGGGGGGGCAGGGGACCACAGGGTGCTGTCCTGTCCACACCAAGCCCTATGGCCCTGGAAGTGAGGGTGGAACTGGCGTGTGGGACCTGGGCATGGAGGACAGGGTCCCCAAGCTCTGCCCCATCGCTGCTCTGGGGGCAACGTCCTTACCTGCTCACTTCCGCCCCCTCAAAGGGTCACAAGGCCTGGAGGGGCTGCTCCTGAGGGGCTATCAGGAAAGGCTTGCTGCAGGAGGGGACTCTGAGCTGGGCTGTGGACCAAGGGCACGATTTCAACAGATGGAGAGGGGCTGGGGAGAACATTCCAGCAAAAGCAAGGGCTCGGAGGGTGGGCCCTTTGCCTGGCCACCTTCCTTCCCTCTGCCCAGCTCATGTGGACAGAGCCGACCACAGTGCCGGGGAAAGGGACAGGCGTGTCCTGGCCTTACGGTGCTCCTGGCTCACTGGGGCGACCTGGCTCCCAGAGCTGCAGGCCAGCGGGCTGGGGGCTCCTGGGCAGGTTTGGACAGAGCAGGGGGCCCTGGCATGTTGAAGGGTGGCAGTTCACAGGGAGGGCGGGGTTGTCCCAGAGGTGGGCACCCCCAGGAATCAAGGCAAGAGCAGTGAGGAGACCAACGCCGTGACTCCGGGTTTATTAGGAAAGCTGGCACAAGAAAAAATCAAAATCACACTGTGAAACTCATTAAAACAGATTCCAAATCACCACAAATTACTCTGATTTCTGTGAGCTTGACGCCCAAGAGGAGCCGGTCCTGTGGAGGGACCGCGCATCGCCTGTGTGCGCCCGTCCAGCTGCTCTGCCGGGGCGGGGATCTGGAGGTGGCCGCTGTGGCTGCACGTGAGTGGGGCTGGGCGGCCCCCCTTCTCTCCGGAATGGGTAGGAGAAGCTGCCAGTCCAAAGTAGGGGGCTATCCACCCCCATTCCACTGGTGGACATCCTGCCCCAGGGAAGCCCTCTGGGGACAGCAGGACCTGTCCCTCCTGCTTGAAGCTCAGGCCTCGGGGGTGGCTCCTCACAGTTCCCGGCCTGTTGAGTCAGCACCTCTGGGACTGAAGTCAAGGCCCAGGCCTGGGCCCTGTGAGCGGGGCTCCTGGGCACCCCTTGTTTGGCATGGGCTGGGCCTGCCCTGCCCTGCCTGTCTCTTCCCTGGCTCCTCCTGGGTACCCCTGGGTCCTGGCTTCCACGCCCTGGTGTGGTACCCACAGACCCTGTCCAGGCTGTCCCTTGGCCTCCCCTCAGGAAGCTTCCTGGGCCTGCCACACACCTGTCTCGCTTCCTGCCATACCTGGGATGGACCTAGTGCCAAGATGCCCCGCCCCGAGGGACCACCTGACCCCTGCCACTATGTCCCAGCCACCATGTAAGCAATGTGGGGGCCACAGTCTCAGAGCTGAGAGGGGCTCCTGTACCCAGCCAAGCTCTAGTACCCGCTAGAAAGAGGCGGCCTCAGCGAACCCCCAGCCCAGGCTCATGCAGCAGCGAGGCCCACAGGGTGTACGGGCCTGGGAGAGAGAGGCTGCTCTCTGGACCTTCGAGGAGGTGGCCCGATGGGTGCCCCTGCTGAGCGGGAGGTTGGGCAGGTGGGTGGGGCTCCTCCAGGCCTCCCCTCTCAGGCCCCAGGCCCCCATCAGGACCCCTCGTCGGGGCCCCTGTGGGGCACGGTCAGCTGTTCGTAGGTGGGCAGTGCATTGCTGGGCAGGAAGAGCTCGGGGTCGATGGGGCCTCGGCAGGGCTGGACCAGGTGGGCGCCACCTCCGCTGGGGGGCCGGCCGCCGGGGGGGCCGCTCTGGTGCAGAGAGAGAAGCTGGTGGAGCATGTCTGTGATGAGAATCAGCCGCTGGTCCAGCTGTGTCACCTGTGGGGACAGGAGCAGAGGTGTTCTGGCAGTGACAGCCGCCCTGAGGGGCGCCCAGTATTCCCACAAATGTGAGCTGCGCAGGCCTTGGTCACAGCTGTGTGTGTATGACCCCTGTGCATGTCCGCACTGTGTGGACACGTGGGTGGGGGAGCCCCTCTGTAGCCGGGGACGGGTGGCCCAGCAGGAGCCAGGGTCTGGGGCAGGGGCCTGGCCCAGCAGCCCTCGCCCTCCACCAGAATGGCGGCCTGTGAGGGGGCTGTGCCCTTCCCTCAGGCTGAGGCCCAGGGGACCCACTTCCCTAGTTCTCAGCGTGACGGCTGGTATAGTCTCTGCCGCCTCGGTTGGCCCTGGGGCTGAGACCCGCCTGTCTCAGGCCTGGGGACAGCTATACACCCGAGGCCCCATCCCCCAGACCAGAGGGGCCTGATCTTGGATTTGCCCAGATGATGCTGGCTCGGGGAGCCCAGGCTGTAGAGGGAAGGGGAGGGGTTCCCTGGGGGCTGGGGACCATTCACTCAGCTCCTTCCCCCAGACCCTGCCTGACACCCTGATTCTCTGCAGAGCTGTTTGGAGACTACCGACCAAGGCTACACCCCCCGTCCCCCACCAGGAGAAGGGCCTGGTTCAGGGTCACCCACTGGGACCCCTGCATCTCCCATTGCACCCCTGCAGCCCCCACCCCCAGGTTCCATGCTGGGAAGACACAGTGTTGGGCAGGGAGGGGGTGAGGGCAGGAGGTCTGAGCTCAGGGGGTGAGCAAGGTGGGAGGGGACGTGAGGAGGAGACCTGCTCACACCCAAACCCCGTCCTTCTTCCTGACTAGAGGCACCCAGGGCTCCCTCTGCCACTGCACCGGCCCCTGCAGTGCCACCGCCCGCTTGTGCCCTGGGAGGCCTATGGGGGGGTGGCCTGGGCCTTGGGGTCCACCTGGGCTTTCTGGGCCCTGCACGCCAGTGGCCTTGACCAAGGCTGGTCCAAGTGTGGTTTAATGTCACTCAACTGTGCAGGCCCCAGCTTGGAGCATCGATTGGTTTGGCATCAATTAATGCCCCAAATGCATTACAGAGAAAAATCTGTGGTTTCATAAATTTTCACTTTACGGCACTTCAACATCTGTTGACGTCTCCAGATGTGCACATGGGTACAGGAGGCTTTACAGGGTGTTCTTGGGAAAGGAAACGGCCCCATGGTTGGGATGCAGGAAGGAGTCGGGGCTGCTGGGCGCGACTGGAGAAGGGACTTGGTCCTGGGCCACCTCGGGTGACAGTCCATACCAGGGGGGGCAGGAGGCATGGTGAACACAGGGTTGGTCAAGCCCTGGGGAGCCCTCCCAGCCCCCAGCCCTGAGGTATGCTCCCTCCTGGAGCTTGGGCCTGACCAGGGTGCCACACACCACCCAGGAGCTGCCTGCTGTTCCCCTGGCTCCGGGTGCCCTAGGTTTGCCCTGCATGGCCCAGCCCCAGGGCCCAGCACACGTGACCTCCATCCCAGTCCCCCTCAGTGGTTGATCTCATTGTCTGAGCTGTAGCATGAGCTGCAGTCAGGCTGGCCTGGGAGGCAGGGTCAGACCCCAGAGTGACCCTTGGCTGCTGCGTCTTCCTCTCTGGGAAGTGGGGAGGCTGCTCTTCCCTCAGTGGTTGTCTCGAGGGTGAGGTCAGACAGTCCACAGAGGAGCCCCCAAGGACACCCTCCCCTGGGGTGTCGTTACGGCCGGCGGGTCCTCCTGGGTCTTCATATGGCTTAGAGGGGGGTCCCTGAAGTCACCTCACCCTCTTGCCCTGAGCACAGACTGTCTTTCTTACATACACAGTGATCGGGCCCGACGAGTGGGGAGGGACGGCCTCGGCCAAGCCCTAGCCACAGGCGGTGCATCTGTGGGGCAGGTGCCCGGGGAGGCTCTGCCACCCTTGGGGTCGGGGACTGCGTTCCCCGGGAGCTGCTGGGGCAGGCCAGTTTTGGGGGATCTGGAATCTTGTCATTATTTGCAATTTGACAGTGACTAGAAGGGCAAGGCCAACAAGGGCTCCCTTGTTCCCGCCCCCACTCACCAAATTAATAACCGTAGGGCGTCTATGTGGCCCTCCCCTCGGGAGAGAAAAAAGCAATTAGAATAACAGCTAGTTAGAGACCCCTGGGCGGCCGGGATCAAACCCGTGGCGACAGGGGTCCGGCTTGATGTGGTTATGAGTTTGTTTTCAGACGAAAATCTTGAAAAAGAGTCTTTCATGGGAAGTTTTTGCAGAAGCTGCTCAGCCTTGATCTCAGCTCTGGACACGATGCTGGCCTGGCGGAGACCGCCCGGGGCTGTCTCAGCCGCTCTGGGGGGAGCTGGGCAGGAGATGTGGGCAGGAGGCAGGGGCGCCAAGTCCCGGGGCTCGCAGGGGCAGAGCCCGGGTCCCTGTGAACCAGCATCTAAAGGTGGGGCAGGGCCTCCTCCCAGGACAGCCCAGGGTCACAGGGCGAAGGTCACCTGGCCCTCCTCTCGTCTGCAGACTGTCCTGGACCAACAGCCACTGAGCCACTCTCAGGAGCGATGCTCATGATCATACGGGTACTGAGCTGGATGCCCGCCTGGGGCTGCCTTGGGGTGCAGGGACATGGGGGTTCCAGGCACTGGGCGGGGCATGCCAGGGACACGCATGGGGACGCAGCTGTGACAACTCAGCACGTCTGTGCGCGGGCTCTGTGCTCCATCCTGCATCAGGCCCCACAGCATGGCTGCGAACATCCCACTTCACGGACAACCAGGCAGGACGAACAGTGACAGGCAACCCTAAGCCACCTTCCTCTCTCGGCCAAGGAAAGCCCTGCGGTCCCCCTGAGCAGCCCTGATCTTCTCCGAGGCCTCTGCACGTAGTGTGTCTGCTCGCCCCTGAGCTGTGTCTCTCACTGGAGTTAGGCTCCTGGGGCTGGGGTCCTGCAGCAGCCCTGGGGTGAGCACCACGTGGCCCGGTGCCTGGACTCCAGAGCCCCTGGGGACCCCCAGCCAAGGGGGAGGGGAGGGTGGTGCAGGGTGCCATCGCCCCGGGTGAGCTGGCCCGGCCCCTCCCAGAGGAGAGCGCGCACCAGGCCTGCGAGCCCTGCCCCTGGCTCGGGCCGGCCTCTGCGATTCCACTCGAGGGGCCTGGGCTTGGGCACGCCCCTCCCCCACTGCTGGAAGGCGGGAATAAGGCCCCTAAATCACCTTGCGCTGGGGCGCGGGGCTGGCCGCTCCTCCGGAGCTGGGTACGGCTGAAACGGATCACGGCCTTCGTCACATCAGAGTTTACGGCAGGAGACCGTGTGACTGTGTTTATGGCTCGGTTTTAGTGCCCTGGCCTGGGAGAGGTTTTACTGCTGGTCCCCAGGGCAGCCGCTCTGTGGGGCCTTCTGTCCCTCAGCGGAGGGGCCGGTGGGGATGGAGGGGACGGAGGGGACTGCGGGGCCTGTGGGCACGGGCGCCGTGGGCAAGGATGGGGCATGCACGCGGCGTGTCTGTGGGAGGCCCCGGTGTGAGGACACATTTTGGGCGTTGGAGCCTGAGTGGATGGCACAGTGGGGGGGGGGTCTG